GCTGGGTGAAAGCCCTTCAATCTTGGGTTTCAGCTCTGCCTCTTGCTTCCGGCCCACTGAAGCTAGAGGCATCTCTTCACTCAGGCAGCTACTGGCTGCTGAGACTAACAAGCCCAAGGTTGTTAATAATAAAATGGCACAGTCCCAATGTTACCAAACCACAGGAGGCCATTAATTCAAGTCCATTGAAAGTCCCAAAGTCAGCAGAGCATGGCAAGCTGCTGAACAACAACATGGCTCCATGTAGGGTTCAAACATGCCATATGCTAGAGACCATTCCCAAGGCTTCTGCTTATATACAGGAAGCAGACCACATTCCCTAATACAGCTACTCAGCTGCTCACAGTAGATTCCACCATGGAGTTGATTACCAGTCTTATGGAGAATCCCACATCCAGCTGCCTAGCCACTCAACTAGGCCTAGCCAAGTTGACACACAAACTTAACTACCACAGAACAGCTAAAGGAGACAAACTTGTCTGTCAGTATGTCATACTGTGGTGGTTTGTGTGTTGCTGTGAGGCTGGAGGCTATGCCACTGGTATTTTAAATGCCAGCAGAGTTACCCATGGTGGACAGGTTTTAGCAGAGCTTCCAGACTAAGAGACTTGAAAGAAGGAAGAGACCATCCACTTCTCAAAGAATTGGCTGGTGAAAACCTTATGAATAGCAGTGGGACACTGTCTGGTATATTACTGGAAAACTTTATAAATAGTCCTGAAACATCGTCTGATAAAGTGCTGGAAGATGAGCCCCTCAGGTGGGAAGGCACTCAAGATATGACTGGGGAAGTGCTGCCCCCTCAGAGTAGAGCCAACCTTAATAATTGGATAGAGTAAAGCTTTCGGGACCTCCATTTTCTGATGTGGAACAACTCAAGATGAGAGGGAACAGTTGCAAACATCCATTAAAAATTGGAGCACAGGAAGTACAAAGTATGACTCTAGGAAAATTGGAAGTTGTCAAAAATGAAATGAAACACATAAAGTTTGATATCTTAGGCATTAGTGAGTTGAAATGGCCTGGTTTTGGCCATTTTGAATCAGACAATCATATGAGCTACTATGCTCATATTGAACAGGAATGGTGTGGCATTCATCATTATAAAGACGGTATCAAGATCTGTCCTGAAATACAATGCTGTCAGTGATAGGATAATATCATATGCCTACAAGAAGACCAGTTAATACTACTATTATTCAAATTTACACACCAACCACCAAAGCCAAAGATGAATAAATTGAAGATTTTAACTTCTGCAGTCTGAAGTTGAGCAAACATGCATGCAATCAAGATGTGTTGATTATCACTGATGATTGTAATGCAAAAGTTGGAAATGAAGAATCACCGGTAGTTGAACAATATGGCCTTCATGATAGAAATAATGATGAAGATCACATGATAGAATTTTGTGAGACCAATGACATATTCATTGCAAATCCCTTTTTTCAACAACAGCAATGGCAGCTATACACATGGACTTCACCAGATGGAGTACACAGGAATCAGATTGACTACATCTGTAGCAAGAGGCTATATAGAAGCTCAATATCTTCAGCCAAAATAAGGCCAGGCTCTGTGGGACAGACCACCAACTGCTCATGTGCAAGTTCAAGTTGAAATTGAAGACAATTAAGTCCATGAAAGACAAAATATGCCTGTGATTTTATCCCTCCTGAATTTAGAGACCATCTAAAGAATAGATTTGATGCATTGAACACCAATGACTGAGAACCAGTAGAATTGTGGGATGATAGCAAGAACATCATCCATGCAGAAAGCAAAAGGTTATTAAAAAGACAGGAAAGGAAGAAAAGACCAAAATGGATGTCAGAAGAGACTGAAAATTGCCCTTGAATGGAGAGTAGCTAAAGCAAATGGAAGAAATGACAAGATAAAAGAGCTGAACAAAAGATTTCAAAGACCAGCTCGAGAAGACCAAGTCAGTTATTATAATGAAATGTGCAAAGACCTGGAGTTAGAAAACCAAAAGGGAAGAACATGCTTGGTATTTCTCAAGTTGAAAGAACTGAAGAAAAATTTAAGCCTTGAGTTGCAATATTGAAAGATTCTATGGGCAATATATTGAATGTGAAGGAAACATCAAAAGAACATGGAGAGTCACTGTACCAAAAAGAATTGATTGATGTTCATCCATTTCAGGAGGTGGCGTATGATCAAGAACCAATGGTACAGAAGGAAGTCAAAGACGCACTGAAGGAAGTGGGAAAGAACAGGGCTCCAGGAATTGATGGAATACCCATTGAGATGTTTCAACAAACAGATGCTACACTGGAGGCACTCACTCAGCTATGCCAAGAGTTGGAAGATAACTACCTTGCCAGCTGAGTGGAAGAGATCCATATTTGTACCCCTTTCAAAGAAAGGTGATCCCATGGAATGTGGAAATTACAGAACAATATCATTAATATCACACACAAGTAAAATCTTACTGAAGATAATTCAAAAACAGTTGCAGCAATAAATTGACAGATTACTTCCAGAGGTAGAAGCTGGATTCAGAAGAGGGCATGTAACAAGGAATATCTTTGCTGGTGTCAGATGGATCTTGGCTGAAAGCAAAGAATACCAAGAAGATGTTTACATGTGTTTTATTGACTATGCAAAAGCATTCGATTGTGTGGCTCATAACAGATTATGGATAACATTGAGAAGAATGGGAATTCTGGAACACTTCATTGTGCTCGTGAGAAACCTGTACACAGACCAGGAGGCTGTTGTTCGAACAGAACAAGGGAGTACTGCATGGTGTAAAATCGGGAAAGGCGTGCATCAGGGTTGTATCCTTTCAACATACTTCCTCACTCTGTATGCTGAGCAAATAATTCGAGAAGCTGTACTATATGAAGAAGAATGTGACATCAGGATTGGAGGAAGACTCATTTACAACCTGTGATTCACAGACGACACAACTTTGCTTGCTGAAAATGAGGATGATTTGAAATACTTACTGAAGAAGATTAAAGACTACAGTCTGCAGTGTGGATTACACCTCAATATAAAGAAAATGAAAATCCTCATAACTGAACCAATAAGCGGCATCAAGATAAATGGAGACAAGATTGAAGTTGTCAAAGACTTCTTATTACTTGACTCTATAGTCAACACCAGTAGAAGCAGCAGTCAAGCGATCAGACAATGTACAGCATTGGGCAAATCTACTTCAAAAGACCTCTCTAATGTCCTGAAGGGCAAAGATGTCTCCTTGAAGACTAATGTACACCTTACCCGAACCATGGTATTTTCAGTCACCTCATATGCATGTGAGAGCTGGTCTGTGAATAAGGAAGACTGTAGAAGAGTTGATGCTTTTGAGTTGTGGTGTTGGCAAAGAATGCTGAAAGTAGCATGGGCTGCAAAAGGCCTAACAAATCTGTCCTGGAAGAAGTGCAGCCGGAATGCTCCTTGGAAGTGAGAATGGCCAGACTTCTGTCTCACCCCTTTGGTCATGTTGTCAGAAGGGACTATTCTCTGCAGAAGGATATCATACTTGGTAAAGTGGAAGGTCAACGAAAAAGGGGAAGGCCTTCAACAAGAAGGTTTGACACTGTAGCTGCAAGAATGGGCTCAGGTATAGCAGGGATCGTGAGGCTGGCACAGGACCGGCCAGTGTTTCGTTCTGTTGTACATGAGGTTGCTATGAGTCGGAGACAGCTTAACAGCACCTAACAACAACAACTACAGATAAGTGTGATCAGAAGAACTAATAACATGCAGTAAGTGATTCTTTGTACCTAGAATAATGTCAGGGACCAAAAAGTATCAAAGGAATACTTGTGATATTTGGGGCAAATTATGGATCTTTTATTTTTTTACACCATTCATATGTAGTTGAAAATTCTTTTGTTAATTACCAGCCACAGATTAGAGCAGTGGTTAGGTTTATAGCTGAGAAATAAAATAGCACCTTATTGGGACTAATAATCACAGTATTTAATAGGAAACATTTGACTTTTAAAAGTACGAGAGTTGCTAATAAACACTGCAGAAAACAGAAAAATGTCTTCTCTCTGATTGAATGATTACAGTACAAATTATACCTTTTCACGCCAGGATATTACAGCTCATGTTTCTGAAAAGACTCTGCTCAGATGTTAGTTTTTCCACTGTGACCACATTTACTTTAAAAAAGAGAAATTTGAAAGATAACTTTATAACAGTGAACAGGGGAGAATAGATAATAGGTTTGTTATCTTAAGATGAGTATTTTTGGTTTTTAATAAAGTTTCAGTCATTTTAACAGAAATATTTTTTGGTTTTTCATTGGCCTACTTCTCAGTAAAAAGTTCCTTACAATCACATGGGAAATTATGTAATATATGGTTAACTTTTCTTACTACAATTATTCATAAAAAGGAGTTTTACTGAAATTATAGATGTTCTAGTGATCACTTCTAGTGATCATTATTAGCTGTGATGGTAAATTGATTGTTTTCAGCAAGGATTTTAGTTCATGGTGAAGTAAATATTTTTTGAAAATTTCATTTAATGTATAACTAAAATGTATTAATATTGGTAGGCTTTATCTTTTATTTTAATATGACAGTTTTGCTGAATAATTTCTATGCAAATAGGATGTTTTCAAGTACAGTTTCCAGATGATTTGCTTCTGTGAATATAATTGCATAATCAACTGCTAATTTAAATTATCATCTAATAAACGATAACCACACGGTGGCTGAAATAGAAACAACAGAACTTTAGATTCTAGAAGGGAGCCATCTCTTTTATTTGTTTCTTTTCTATCACTACACTTTTTTATTCTGTCTTGCCCACCCCTTCCTTCTTCAAGGCTCCACAAAACACCTTTTGGAAATTATGCTGATGCTCACAATAAGAAAAAGAAAAGGGTCTTTGAAATACTCAGAGAACTTTCACCCCCTCCTAACTTGCTGTACCCCCAACCCCAAGACATAACTTATTTTCTTATCTTGGACTACCGTTCAGATTATCTCTTTTTTTTTTTTCCTCTTTTATAGTGACCTTAAGCCTGAATGGCTGGACAGGGTGCAGAAAAATGGAGAGCTATTTTATTTGGAGATGAGTGAAGATGAGGAAGAAAGCCTCCTTCCTGAGACACCTACTGTGAATCATGTACGATTCAGTGAAACTGAGATTATTATTGAAGAAGATGATTACAAAGAAGGGAAAAAATATGAACCCAAACTCAAACGGTTTACCAAAATTCTGAAAAGTAAAAGACTTTTACCCAAGCGCTGTAATAAAAAAAATAGCAATGACACTGGGCCAGTATCCATTCTAAAGCATCAGTCCAATCAAAAATCAGGAGTCATTGTCCAGCAGAGATACAAAGATGTGAATGTTTATATAAACCCCAAAAAGCTAACTGTCACCAAAGCAAAAGAGCAACTCAAACTTCTGGAAGTACTGGTTGGGATTATCCATCAGACCAAGTGGAGCTGGAGAAGAACTGGGAAACAGGGAGATGGAGAAAGGCTTGTGGTTCATGGCCTACTGCCTGGAGGATCTGCTATGAAGAGTGGTCAGATATTAATTGGTAAGTATTGCTGAGAAAATCTGTCCTTTTTTGCAGAAATAAATGAAAATGATCATACCTTGTGAGGGATGTGATAATAACAAAATTATATACAGTTTTAATAGGCAGAAGACTGACAACACTTGAGGTATAGTGAAATTTTTAAGGATGGTATGCTGCAAGGCGATGTGTTCTAAAATAAGCATTTAATGTGTTGAATATGTATGTCCCTTTGCAAGGCCAGGGAATAGCTTCACTAATAAAGTCTTTCAAGTTTTGAGTTATATAATTTTATTTTATCTTGGTTATATTTGCCAACAAGAGAAAAAAAATGGCCTGATTGTACAGTGATAATTCAGGTTTGAATGCCCTATGTCTAATAACATACAAAAATATACAATTTATGAATAAAAATACTTTAAAATTATATGTTTGCCCTTGAGTGTGCTAAGTTCTCGGAGTGGCTTTAAACTGTTTCATTTGGCATATTTAGCAATAGTGGTATTAGATATAAATTTCCTTTTGAAGATGCTGATCATAAACTGTTGACTAAGTTGGTAGCAATCTTATTGCTCAGTTAAAGATGTATTAGTCCACTATGAAGGTGTATTATTAATGATACTTAAAAGATATGAACAGTTTTAAAAGCTGATATAGTCTTTTAAGTTGACCCAGTTTATGAGACTTACATAAGGAGCTATTATAGATACTTTAGAGATATTTTTAAATATGTCTTACCTTAAGTCTGGATTATATTTGTTCATTAATTTAATGACTGTTCTTTTTAGTATCTATTTAGTGTTTTATAATATCTACTAAGAGTTCAAAGATTACTATAATGATATAATTATTCCTCTAAAACCAAAACTCACTGCCATCAAGTCAATTCTGACTCATAACGACCCCTTTGTGTTTCTGAGGTGGTAAATCTTTATACAGAAGTAGATTGCCCAGTCTTCCTCCACAGAGTGACTGGTGGGTTTGAACCGCTAATCTTCTGATTAGCAATCAAATGCCTTAGGCATTATATCACCAGAGCTCCTTAATTGTTCCTCTAAAGGAACTCCTATTTTAGTGGAAGAGATGAATCACAAATAGACAGTTTCACGAAGGTATTTATAAAGAAGACCCTGTGGAATCATGGAGGAAGAGCATCGGTGGCAATGTGTGTTCCAAAATTGTTGCAACAAGATCTCAACGTTTTCTTACAGTGTAATGGTGATACCCCTGCCATGGAGAGGTACAGTCTATGTTCCCTCCCCTTGATTCTAGGCAGGCCTATGGCTTTAGTGGAAGTGGTGCTGTGCGACTTGTGAGATTGGATCATAAAAGGTGATGCAGCTTCTTTCTGGTTCTCTTGGGGATGCTCATTTATAGAATCAAATTGCCATGTTGTGAGGAACTTTGGCCACTTGAAAAGGCTGTCAGTGGTGTTCTGGCTGGTAGCTCCAGCTGAGGTCCCAGCCACCGCCACCCTGCAGCAGCAGGTACCAGACATGTAAGTGAAGAAGTCTTCAAGATGTCTCCAGCCCTAACCATCATCCAACTACAACTCCATGAAGAACCTGAGTGAGAAACATGTTTGAGCCCAGTTGACCCCAGAGCTATGAGAGAGAATCATTGTTATTGTTTTAAGCACTAAGTTGTTGGGTGTTTTATATTCAGCAATAGATAACAGGCACTGATGCTGATGTGTAGTTACAGTCTCTTAGGTCCTTAACTACCTTTCTTTTTTTAATTGTGATTTGGGTGAAGATTTACAGAGCAAATTCACTTTCTATACAGCAGTTCACATATACTTTGTCTCATGTCATTGACCACAGTTTACCACAATGCAACAGCTCCCCTCCCACTTCCTCCCCTTAGTTACCTCTTCCCAGTGTCCATCCCTCCATACTCTCCTGCCCCCTGAGCTGTTTCCCTGTGCATTAGCAGCCCTTC